CCGACTCCAGAGCTGCTGCTCTGAACAGTTTTTCCTTACGTTCCCACAAATGTACAAAATGATTGATCCACAATGCAATTGCTCACCACCTGCTGACTGATGCCCAGCCAGTCTCTGAGCAGCAGCAGCCTCTCAGCCAACTCCCCCTGGTTTTATAGTTTTTAGATCATCATGCAGTATGTAATATCCCTTTGGTCACTTTGGGTCAGCTGTACTGGTTCTATCCCCTCCCAGCCTCTTTGCTGACAGGGCAGTCTGGGAAGATCAGAAGCCCTTGACTTAGTATAAGCACTCCAGAACATTAATGTGTTATCAGTGTTACTACGAAATTCTAAACACAGCAACATACCAACTCCTAGGAAGAAAACTATTTATCCTAGCTGAAATCAGGACACATAATCAGAAATAATCTTGCTAGCAAAACTAATACATCTTGAGAAGTACTTGATCTGACCACAGAGAATACATCTGGGCTCAGATACAGTTCTGCTCCAAGGTAACAGAATTCAAACATGTAAATATGAATGTTTACATGTGCTATAGATGTCTGCACTTTTGTTACACTTAGTGGAAATCTGTCTGGTTGTAATTACTCCATATGTAAGTACATGAGGGATGGCATGCTAGACAGTTGCATGAATAGAGGGATGAAGAAGGGTAAAGAGAGGGGCATTCAGAGTGATGAAAATTGTCTTTGCAAGACAATTATGCATGACGAGTCCTGCTTTCCTGGACTTGACAGAACATGTGCCTGCTGATGTGAAGTAGCAAATGAATGCCTTGATTTGCTTTGCTAGTAAACTGCCTTTACCTCAGTCCACAATTTCTTGCACTTTTATTTTTCTGATTCTCTCCTCTATCCCACCTGGGAACAGTGAGTGAGTGACTGTGTGGTACTCAACTGCCTGCCAGGATTAAACCACAACTCTTTCAAACCCCATCATTGGGTGTGAAGGGTTAAAGATTATATTGGGAGTGAAGTGTTTTAGACTTTGCAGTTGCTATAGCTGTTTAGTTGCTAATTGGCAGGGCACCATGCTTGCCAAGATGCATGCTTGTCTTACAGAATATCAGAATCTGGTGCCTGTTAGTGGGTACACTATTACTTATCATCTTGCTCTGCTGTGCCTGGGATGTGTCTGTGCTGTAGTTGTGAGCCTGGGTTGGCAGATGCTGCGGGCATCATAGCTGTCCCTGTGCTATTGTACTGTACAGGCTGGAACTTCAAGTAGCAGCAGGAATATAACCTGTGGATGAGTCCATGTGGGAACACTTATATTGCAAACCACAGGAAACTCTTCTCTAGAAAAAGCACACTTCAAAGCATTTATGGCCATGGATAAGTCCATGCTGAAGGAGATATACCTTGTGGTGTCCATGTCTGTGGATAAAGTCATGCCAGAATATCTTGAAGTATCTGTGGCCATAGATGAGAACACAACACAGCAGTAGTCTAAAGGGAACACTGAAAGGACTGTGGAAAATGGGCAAGCTTCAGCAAACACACCTCAAAGCAACTGTAACTATGGATTATCTCAGGCTGCATCAGATACGCCTCTGAAGTGACTGTGGCCCATTAATAACACATTATGATCAGGAACACACATGTATAACTTTAGGTTATCAGACAGCTCCTGCATTCAGCCTCAGCAATCATTAGGTCCGTGGCAGTCCAACTGGCCTTGAGAACTGGATGTGGACTGCATCTCCTATCTGCCCTGAGTGGTCAGTGAGCAAATACAGTGAAGTTAGGAATTACTCCTTTTGGAGTGAGGATGCACAGCCTTGGACCATCCAATACCCGATCCAAGGTTACCGTTGCTTAAGTCACTCAATCATAGAAGGAGATCAGGTTGCTCAGCAAGACCTGCCTCTTGGGAACCCATTCCATCTGGGCCTGATTCCCCCATTGTCCACCCATGCTGTGTGATCTCACTCAACACACTGGACTTCTTTTCTGCAAAGTTTTTAATTGCATGCTGTTTTGCTACTTGGCCATAGTTTAGGAGAGTACTTTATGCATACATCCATATATCAAATGTATCTTAAAATATATTCTGAACATTCCATTCTTTCCCCCTATATAGAGATAGACACATCTGTGATCAGTAGCAAGGTCAGGCAAAAGTCTTTTGCAGTCTTTTGAGGTCAACGTGTTCAGCTTTCCTTTCCGTTACCCATCACCATCCTGTGCCTTTGTGTTTTCTGAGGTCTTTTAGTGCAGTTCAGAGGTGTTGTTGTTGTTTTCATTTTTGGTATTTGTTATTATTTTTGTAATGACCTAATAGTACCTCAAGTGGCTTTCACAGAATTAATAGCCTAAAAAAGGATGTGGGAGAAAAGCAACAACCCAAAAAACCCAACAGCAGTAACTTGAGGCAAGGCAAGGTTTGCTTTCTAGCAGAATGTGTTACTGTTGTTGTGTTACTGGATCCCACAAAACAGAGCAATTTGTGTGTATTTTTCTTACATAAGGTTCACTTTGCTTGCTGCAGCTTAACGTAGCTGCAAACAACTGTGCCAATTGTTTCTTTCATCAGTAGCATTTGGACGAGTATTTGTGAAAAATGCATCACAGCTTCTTTCTATTCGTTAAAAACCTCACACTTAAAAGACACCAGGAGCTGCTTGTGTGGGCTATTGCTTCTCTGCTCCTCCTCTCCTGTGGTTTTCATGCTCCAGCAGGGACTGTGCAGGGACACACAGCAGTAGCACTGCAGCCAGGGGGTGGGCAGCAGTAGAAAGGGGGGCAATCCAAAGCTCTAGCACTGCTAGCTGCAGGTGGCCAGCAGACTCAGCACCGCTGATGACAGCCAGCTAAGCTTGCTAAAGACAAGGTACCCAACATCCACTGCTCTCCGCCCATCTACCCAGCCAGTGATGACATCAGAGAAAGCTACCAGGTTGGCTCAGCGTGATTTCCCCTGGGAGAATCTAAGTGCAAAACTAGATCCAAAATCTCTGATGAGCACCATGAAAACTCAATTAGAACTGCAATCACTTCCATCAAACCAGACATTGCTGCAGTAGTTTCAAGGAAAAAAGGACAAATATCCCACAAGTTGTTGCCCACAAATATTAATATTTAAAAATATTTTATTAAATACATGGATATACAAAAAGAAGGTTTGTTACTTCCATACATTAAATCAAGGTACGTATATGTGGCCTGAGACATCTTCACTCAGCCAAGCCAACAGCTTGGTCAGCCATGCCTTGGGAGTGCAGAGGGATGCACTGTGCTGTCCTGCAGCCAGCAGCAGAGGCCAGGAATGGCGGCGCCTGCTGAGCATGCACAGGGATGTCCCAGTGTGAAGGGCAGCAGGGCACTGGGTTTGCTGTGCTCCTCTGAGGGACAGAGCTGTCAGAGGAGTGCTGCAGCTCAGCAGAACAGACAACACAGTGCTCGCAGGCTCTGTCGTGATGTCACTGTCCTCATGGTTGTCCCAAGGATCAATGTGGTCTGAGCTGCCAGGTTAGGTTCCCACCACAATATCAGCCTTGCTGCTTTTTCCCCTTGACTCTGACTTAGGAGAAAGTTCTTCCCTCAGAGGGCAGAGAGACCCTGACACAGGCAACCCAGAAAACGTGGGTTCCCCATCCCCGGAGCTGCTCAAGACCAGGTTGGATGGGGCCCTGGGCAATCTGATCCACTGGGGGGCATCCTGGACACAGCAAGGGCTTAGAACTGGGTGGCCTTTAACATCCATTCCAACATAACCATTCGACCACCCTGGGATATCATGGCTGCACGATCTTTCAGGTCCCTTCCCACCTAATCACTAGGATTCCATGGTGCTGTGATTCATAAGGTTGCTTGAAAGCAAACCTTCCTAGGATTCTATGGTTCTGTATTGTCCCTCAGCCCCAAGAATTTCCTTGGAGGAGAACAAGGCATGGGGATCTCTGCCCCAGGCTTCAGTACAAACACCACAGCCCTCACCCCTGATGATATCCTGTAGCTTCTTCTCACTCAGGTCCCTTGAGTAGCGCGCAGCAAGCCCTAGGCACAGAGCACCTGTGAGATCCTGCTCCCAGCAGCAGAACTGCATTGCTCCCCAGCAGCGAGAGTGGCCGAGGAGGGCCTGAGCAAGGCACCAGGGCACTGGGATCCGCTCAAGGGGCTCCTAGTGTCAGAGGGCAGTGGCTGGGACAGCCAAACACCGCCAAGAGAAGAACAAAGGGGCTGTGGCACACCAATGAACCTCACAGCCTCCTCTCACAAGGCCACCTGAGGGTCCTACAGGAAGGGCTGGCTCTGCTGCAGGTATTCCTCTGCCCTACTCTGGTCCCACTGCAGCTGGACAGAACACAAGAAGATGGGGATTGGAAACGCTCCCCAGCTCCCTGCACTGTCCCTGTTGGTCTGGGGCTCTGGGGTTCTCCTTACCTAGCACTCCGCAATCCTCCACATCTCCTGTTTTTCAACCAGCTCCCGGAAGTCGTTCCAGTGCAGGAGATTGGCTGTTTGTACAATGGCTCTCCCAGCAGCCCGCAGAGAAGCAGAAGCTGGGAGATGGCACCATGGCCCAAGGAAGGAGACCTGGGATTGCCCTCCTCTTGGCAGGGCCAGGAGCCTTTTCCCAGCACTCTATGGCACAGAAGGAGGACAGAAAATGGGCTGGGTGTGATGGACACAAAGAGACATGGAACCAGCAGCCCCTCCATGGCCATCCCCAGCACAACACTGGGCTCCCAGCTAGCTCTGTCCCAGACCCTCAATGCTCGCATTGTGGGTAGCAGAGATCTGAGTCCAGGCTGTGGAATCAGGACCCCTCTGCCTGCACCGGTATAAGGAGCAGCAGGGAGCTGGGACGGAAACCAGTACCTGGGCCAGGTCCTGGTTCTCATCACTCATCCAAAGGAGCAGTGGGACCAGGCCAGGCATTCTCCTCTGGTGGCACCAGACCATGGCCTACACCATGTCTCTGTAAAGATGGATGGAGGACACCCGCTCAGCGCTCAACTCCTGGGAGGGAGAAAGAGAATTTTAGCACGAGGAGGCTGGGCTGCCTTCACATTGCCTCCATGGCACGCAGCGCCTGCAGGCCTTCCTGCACCATGCGCGGGGACCAGGCCTGGCCTGGCTTTGCACAGGCAGCAGAGGAGGATTGGAGGGCTGGAAGCCAACTGCAGGGAGCACATGCTGGGCAGGGTTCTCTGAGGGCTCACAGCTGTCCCCCTGCCCAGAAGGAGCCCCAGGAGGAGCAAAGAGGGGAGAGGGCCCAATGAGAGTGCTGCCCGCACAGCTGGGCCAGAGGCAGTGGCACTGCAGAGTGCCACTGCAAGGGCTCTGCCTCCTACAGCAGCCTCACTTATATCCATAAAGAGAGGCAGGAGCTCCTCAGCGTGCTGCACAGCAATGGAGCTGGTCTCCTTTTCATGCAGCCCATGATGTTTTGAATGACAAACAGGGTCTTCATCTTGATGTATGAGCTGGCATCCTGCAGGGCGGCCATGATCTCTGGCAGCAAGACCTGCATTTTTCTTGCCTGTAGGAAACGCAAGTACCTTTGTCTGATGTGGGGAATGACTGCCTGGGCAAAACACTCCTGTCTCTGAGCTCCAGCGTCCTGCTTCACTTCCTGGCAGCTGGCATAGCAATCACAGCAGAAGCGGTCATAGGAGCACTCAGAGAGGCCAATGGGAAAATTCTTTTCTCAGAGAGTGGTGACCAGGCTGCCCAGAGAAGCTGTAGGTACCCCATCCCTGGAGGTGCTCAAGGCCAGGATGGATGGGGCCATGGGCAACCTGATCTGGTAGATGACAACTAGCCCATAGTAAAAGCTGGGCTTTAGCTGCTCCTCCCATTGCTGCCCAAGAAGCCCAGTGCCACTTCTGTTGACAACGCCCCACTCACCTTCTCTCATGTCTCAGAGAGTATGACAAGCTCTCTGAGCACCACCCTGTGCATCTCCACGCTTGGATGCTTCAGAAAAGTCTTGAGGTGGCGTAGGTCACCAAGAGTCTTCACTATCTTTGCTCTTTGCCATTAGCTGAAACAAAGACATCAGCAAGAGCCTGCAGGGGCACATACAGCCCCAAAGTGCAGCAAAGCGTTATCCATTAACTCACCACCAAGAAGAGGATGCACGTGTCTTCTGTGACTCCTACCAGCCTGCTCAGCTGTGAACCCTTGGTCACCTTCTTCGAAACCTTCTCCAAAGTCCGTGGCATGCAGAGCATCACCTCCCACATGTCTAGGGTGTTGCTACAAGCCCAAATACATTGTAGGCAGGGCTGCCTTAGCCACAGCTAGAACCCTTCAAGCCCACACTGCTTAGAGCGCCCTGGGTGAGCAGGAGGGCACCTGGATAAAGCCCTCCAGGCTGTTGAGGACAGTACCTGTCGCTAGGTGCAGAGGACTTCAGCAGGTTCCTGACTACTTCCGTGGCCATCTGGCTGGTCAGACGGAGGAGCACGGAGTTCAGGCAGTGCTGCACTGCCTTTGCGGCGATGCTCCTCAAGTTCTTGTGGATGGAGGTTTTCTAAAGGGGACACAGGTGAGGACAGACCACAACCATTTCCACAGGTTCCACTGAAACCACTGCACTTCCCACAACTAAGAATGGCTTCAGGAGCCCAAGAGACCTCGGCTGGGGAGGGAAGAACAGCACCTGAAAGGGCTCAAGGATGGGGCAACGGACAAAAGGTGCTTACATCTGGTATCCAGAAGGGGTAGTCTTCCATGGCCACGGCCATCGCACTGCAGGCTGACTCCCTGGCATAGATGCTGGAGTCAGCCATCAGTTCAAGGGCTGTGAGGACGATGTCCATCCTCTCAGCAGGCCTGAGGTATCCTCCAAATGCCTGTGGGTGAAAGCAGGGGAGAGAAGACATGTCACACTGACCATCCCAATAGTGCTTCCTGGTCAAGCAGGGAGAGCAGCTCTGCAGAGAGATGCTGGCAGCAGTCTGTAGGAAAGCTGGAAGCATCAGCTTCTGTCACTGCGTGGTACAGGACGGCAAGAGAGGGCTCTGGAAGAAGGACTGTGGACGAGGACATGGGCAGTTGGTAAGAAGGGTTTGCTGACAGCTAGGAGGGCTGGATCTGCTGCCATGACACTCCCCTTGCTCACAAACATTTCCTGCTGATGCTGTGAACAAGATCCTCAGCAAGGCAGGACATCGCCTTGGCACAGTCACTGGGACTGGATAAGTTATCACATGCAAAATTCTCACATGCAGCTTCTCACAGAGATGCACATACTTTTCTATCACTTCTGTCAGGGCTGTCTCTAAAAGGGAGGAAACAGAAGAATCAGAAGGAAATGTCCTTGTCATCAAACTCAGCAACTGGGGAAAAGCTGGTTTAAACTGAAAACGGCACCCATTGTGTAGGAGACCCATGGTGTAGGAGACCCATGGCGCAGGAGACCTAGGTTGATGGGACCCACATTGAGGAGAGTGAAGGAAAGGGATTATACAGCTAAAGGCAGTGGGTGCTGGGAACAAGAGGGAGCTTAGGAAGGATGAAGCTCTGAAGAGTAAAGGAGCTCAGGAAACTTGCAGACTCCATGGTCAGGCTTCACGAAGCACAAGAAGCATAAGAACAGGAGACATGAGCAGACAGAGGAGCAGAGAGATGCTGCCTGATCCATCTTCTCTTACCTCTTTTGTGTCTGACAAATGCATGGACATGACAAAGCACATCTATAGCTGGAATTCTGGTGGTATCAAGGCCACAGCTGAAAAGGCAGAGGTGACCCAGCAGCTCTCCCAGGATTGGGAAGTAGATCTTGATGACTGACTCATATATAAACTCGCAATTTTCAGCATGGTACCAGTCCCGAGTGACAGAAGAAGAGAGGAAGGCAGAGTGGAGTGGAGGCATAGCAGGGCCTTGAGAGGGAAGAGTGGGGATGAAGACAGGGCAAAGACCTTGTTCAGGACAGAGCCCTGCTGAGAGCTCCCAGCTGCAGGCACCCCTGAGCTGCTCTGGGATGTGGAGAATGGGAGACAGCCTGTCTGATGAGTGTCTGGCTCCTTTTTCCATAAAATCCACAAACATCCATAGAATACCATACAGGGCTCTCATATGAATGTGCACGTGCTGGGAGTGGAAGAAGTGGAGCAGAGCCTGCAAAGAGAGAATCTGCTGGTACTTGTCCTGGGAGCTTCTGCTGCTCCAGCAGGAGCTCTGGGATCTTCCCCACAGGGAAGGAAGAACAGAGCAGCAGGGGCAGGATCCTTTGCAGGACTGTCACATGCAAGGAACCATCCATCCTGCCTGTTTCCCTGACACCATCTGGGGAAACGTGGGTTCCTCCTGCCAGCGCTGCAGCCTCTTGTCACCCATCCCAGCAGGCTGGGAGAGGTCAGCACTGGTACAGGCTGCCCAGGGAAGCTGCGGCTGCCCCATCCTTGGAGGTGCTCAAGGCCAGGCTGGATGGGGCTGTGGGCAGCCTGATCTAGTGGGTGGCAACCAGCCCACAGCAGAGGCTGGGCCTGTGAGGGCTTTGAGATCCCTCCACACCCAACCATTCCTGGATTCCGTTGATCCCTTTAGCTGGAGCTGAACTCCATGCTGGGAAAGGGGGTTTCACAAAAGGAGCTGCCCAAAAAGTTGAGTGCCAGATTGAATAAAGTATGACTGCTGTCCCCAGTGCTTCCCACCAATTACTCACGTGGATGTATGAACTCCACCTTGTTCTTCTCCTCCTCACACCTGCCTGCCAACCTTGGCCTGCTGGAGGGGTCTCACCTCTGTCTCATTGGACCGAGAATCAAAGTTGGCAAAGGGAGGGAAAGAGGAGAGGAAGATTCACCGGCTACTGTAGGCACGCTGGAGTGACATGGCGAGAAGTGGGCTGTGCTCAGGAATGCCTTGAAGGTCCCTGTGCTCCTGCCCTGTCCTGTCACCTATCCTCCTTGCAACTGTTCTGTCTTTCCCTTTGAAATGAGCAGAAAGGTAAGCCTCCCTTCATCAGGAAGAATTGATTTACAATACAAAAGCCAAGATAAAAGCAATATTGCATTTACAGATTTGGATCTGTTCTATAATAATTTCTGAATACAAGATCGAGCTGCTGGAATGCTAAACCAGTGGGGCTTGTGTTATCGTAAAGGGCTTGTAAAAGGAAGAAAACAACAGGAGTAGGACCAACCTCCAAATAAGATACTAAAGCATATGAGAGCCAAGAAGTTACGTAGCAAGTTTGTTAAACCTTTAAATTTGCAGGAGACAAGAGTCAACTCAAATTTCCTTTTACAAGCATGCGGATGCTTTCTGCTGTGCTCTCTTTCAATTATTTCAGACCATGCATTTATCTTTATTTATACAAAATGAAGTTACATAAAAGCTGTAAGTTTTGAAATGATTTTGCTTAAGATAGTGGTGTCTTCCCTTTCTTTAATAAGGCTTTTTTTTAGAGCAGTCATTGTTTCACTGGAAACAAAGTCTTCTAGTCTATCTTAAGATGATTTACATGACTTCTCAACAACTTCCTTCCAGATTTCAGTTTGGCAAGAAAATGTACAGAAGACAGTAAACATATCAAAAGACTGCAGCACATTTTAGACTGGATTCTCAGAAAGAAGTTGCACAGATACCCCAGATAACAAAATCCTTACACCTATTCTTCATAACTGAAGACTAACAACCTGAGAGAGACCCTAAGAAACATACAGGCAGATTAACTTTATGATGTTAAAATACAGAGCTCTTACTTTATGGAAAAGGCAAATCAGAACATGTAATAAAAACCTGGAGCTGTATACCAATAATTTAAAGGCATCGTATCTGTTGGAACGTCACCTGAGAATCTGAAGGAATTCTGGATCTCTGACTTATAAAATCAGCTATTTGCCAGCCAGTAAGAAGATGAATTTGTGCTTCCTATTCAGCATACACTTATGAGGCTGAAAATAAAAGTTTCAGATAATAATAATAATAAAAAAAAACATCTAAGGATCTGATCCTGTGTTCCTGTTAGTGCTTCATGCCTGCAGCCAACCACAAGAGGTCAGGAAGTGAAGCAGTCATAGGATGAAGGTCTCTTCTCTGGAGAAAATCAGACAAGCAAAGCACATGTAATAACAAAGGAACTTCAGAAGCACATTTCACTTTTAAGAAGGAAAACAGACATACCTTGATCCATTTGCTATCAAATGCCCTTTCATTCCATATCTATAAAGCAAAAGGTAAAAAGCCATTTTGAGAAGTGAGAATGTGTCGATATACGACGTAAAATCTCATACACATAAATAAATCTTCCACAACTATTACTGAACTCCATGGTTTATAGTTTGCCAAAGGAAATTGCTTTGATTGGTTCTATCAGCCCTCCAGGAAAAAAATCTGTATGAAAATTCAAGGAAGGTGCTTATTTCTCTCATCCTTTGGCCCACTGCCTGCAGCCTTACTGAAAAGAACACTCGTGCTGGGAGAGCTCTCTACAACCCTTAGCCTTGTTACACATTATATGCTATTAACAATGGCTTTACAGCTTGCTAGACGATGCCTTTTTCCATGGTTTCTCATCAACACGTGGTCATACAGAATGTCAATAACAACAGAAACAAGACACTACTTAAATACTTCATATGCAGAACTTACTATATGCTACTGTAAAAGCACAGCAAGGCAAAAACTCGTGTCGGACACACACCTCCCACCCCACCCCCTCCAAGGTCCATTTCTCAAGTTCAATGCCTTACCAGAGTGCAAGAGTGACACTGACTGAAACAGTCAGCAATAGGAAGGGAAACACTCCAGAAGGAATGGACATTGTATTGACATTCCCACACTACAATAGAAAGGGCAGGCTTTCTCAGGGGGTCGGGAACCGTAACTTGAGAAGCTTCACTGAGGACAGTGAAAATTCAGAAATGCAGACCTCATGATAAATCATTTATATTCACCACTGCGATCAGGTCTAAGCATTAAGGTCATTTGACTCAATAAGATTATTGGGAAGTCCCTGCGTAGGACGTTATGCTACTACAGAAAAGCAAAATCAGTCTGAGTGAAACATCAATGCAAGCACACCAAGTCCTAGAGATTCCCTACCTTGTCTGGTGCCACATAAAAACGTCACTCTGTTAAAGTAATTGTCATGGTTTAGGAAAAATCTTAGAAGCATGGGGACCCGCAATGTCATGGGATTTCACTCTTGAGCACCTGTGGGATCCCCAGAAACTTAGCCAGTATTTGAGACAGGGGCAGTGCGGCTTAGGTAAATCTAAGGAGGTACAACTTATTTGGGGTTTGGCTTGTGCTTACTGTGCCCTATATAATACTGTTTGGGAGAGAGAGAGTTTCCAAGCTGAGGTTCAAGCCAAAGGGAAAGGGATAATAGAGTTTATTGGACTGTGTGGATCCGATGGCCTGGCACATCAGAACCACTGAAATATAAGGCATTGGTGGATACCGGTGCACAGTGCACTCTGATGCCCTCGACTTATGAAGGGACAGAATCAATCCATATTTCTGGAGTGACTAGGGGCTCTCAAGAATTGGCTGTGTTGGAGGCCGAGATAAGCCTCACTGGTAGGAACAAAAAAGCACCCTATTGTGACTGGTCCAGGGGCTCCATGTATACTTGGTATTGATTACCTCAGAAGGGGGCATTTCAAGGATCCTAAGGGGTATCGATGGGCCTTTGGAATAGCTGCTGTAGACACAAACAACATTAAGCAGCTGTCTGTTTTGCCTGGCCTGTCAGAAGATCCATCTGCTGTGGGGTTGCTACAAGTAAAAGAGCAACACGTACCAATTGCTACAAAAACGGTGCACAGACGGCAGTACC